ATCTCAAAAAAAAAAAAAGAAACTGTTATTTTTTTTAATTAAAAAATACATTTACTGTGGACAAATTTGAAAGATTATCATCTTAGTTAACTGAACAAAATAGAAATGTCCAACAAAGGGCAAAACAACATCATTTGGCTACTGTTATGCTACAAGGAAAAGGATACTTCACCACTTCTATGGTATCCCCACCAACAGTGGTAGGGGTAGTTCAGATTTAGATAATCTAAACCTAAATGTGAAAATATCAGAAACCTCAAATGAATGCTTTTCTCCAAAATAAGTTGCCTATACTCTCCAAAAATACTAAGTATAAAGAACACAAAGAAAATCTGTGGAATCCTTCCAGATTAAAAATGAGTATGCAACTAAGACCCCAAATCTACAAAGAACTCAAACAAATCAGAAAGAAAAAAATAAATAACCTCTTCAAAAACTGGATAAAAGACATCAAAAGAAACTTTTCAAAAGAAAAATAGACAAATGGCCAACAAAGACATGAAAAAATGCTCAACAAGAAAATGCAAATTAAAAACTATAATTTGATAGCACCTTATGCTTATCAGAATAGCCATTTAAAAGTAAAAATACCCAGTAGATGCTGGTGTGCATTCAGAGAGAAAGAAACACTAACTCACTGTTGATGGGACTGCAAACAGTATGGAGATTCTTCAAAGAACTAAATGTAGACCTACTATTTGATCCAGCAATCTCACTGCTGGGTATCTATCCAAAGGAAAAGAAGCCATTCTATCCAAAAGACACCTGCACTCAAATGCTTATTGCAACACAATTCACAATTCCAAAAATGTGAAATCAACCTTAGTACCCTTCAATTCATGACTAAAGAAAATGTAATAAATGCATACATAGTCACTATGAAAATGTGGAGAAAGACTGTGTTATGGTCCATTATTTCACTTCCAAGAAATATAGTCAACAGCATCCTTTTTGATTCACCAGTGTGAGTGCCAACAAACTCAGCTTATTGGTATTGCTGGGAGGGCATCATTTGTTTCTGTCTATGTGGATTTTATATCTCTTGGTTTTTGTATATCTCAAAATGTTCACGATGGACCATGCACCATGGAGTACGACTTAACAATAAAAAGGAATGAAGTAGCAGCAACGTGGATAGAACTGAAGACCATCCTCCTAAGTATCTCAGAATAGACAACCCAACACAGTAATAAGTGGGAGCTAACAGATACATATACAGAGGTGCAAAGTGATATAAAGGATATGAGAAACCAAGAAGGGGGAGGATGGAAGTGTGTGTGTACCTACTGGGTACAGTGAATACTATTCTGGTCATGGGCATACCAAAAACTCTGACTTAAGTATTATACGAGATGTTCACATAATAAAAATATGTGAGGCTTGGCGCCTGTGGCTCTAGCTGCTAAGGTGCCAGCCACACACACCTGAGCTGGCAGGTTCGAATCCAGCCCGAGCCCGCCAAACAATGATGGCTGCAACCAAAAAATAGCCAGGCATTGTGGTGGGCCCCTGTAGTCCCAGCTACTTGGGAGGCGGAGGCAGGAGAATTGCTTGAACCCAGGAGTTGGAGGTTGCTGTGAGCTGTGATTGCACAGTACTCTACCCAGGGTGACAGCTTGAGGATATTAAAAAAAAAAAAAAAAGTGTACTCCTTTAATTCACATTTTGAAATTTAAAAAACTCAAAAGAAAAAGAATTCCCAACTCAGAAGTCAGACAATAATGAAAGGAAGAAAAGAGAGGAGCAGAGAAGTGCGGAGGGGAAGAGAGAGGAGGGGAGGGAAGAGTGAGAAAGAAAGAAAGAAAAGGAAGGAAAGGAGGAAGGAGGGAGGAAGGAAGGAAGGAAGGAAAAACGTGGGACAACTAAAAGCAATGCAAAAAAGGACTTTGAATAGGTGTGTGAGTGAAGGGCTCGGTAGGGAACAGTTGTAAGGACTTTAAATGAAAAACATAAGGTATTTATTTATTTATTTTTAGGACACTATTAAAATTTGCTTTAAATATTTCTTCAGGGAAAGAAATATCACACTTTTTAGTCAATGAAGACAAATGTTTTTATAGTAGCCTTTTATTTTTAATACCTATTATGCCATGAATTCATAGGGAAAAGTTTCCAACAGCTCAGGAGGCGCCTTTCCATTGTGACAAAGCTTGCTATGCCTATTATGCCATGAATTCATGGGGAACAGGTTCCAGCACCTTATATTACTGTTCTGTTGCTTCTCTTGGTTCAGCTGTGTGCTATGCCGTACACCTGTTATGCCATGAATTCATAGGGAATGGGTTCCAGGAGTTCAGGCTCCTTTCCTTTGGTTCTGACAAAGTGTGCTTCTCTGGGTGGAGCAGGCTGGCGCATCAGTCGCACCCAAGTAACTTTCTCTTTGGCTTCCTTCTTATTCTGATCATTTTCCTTCATGCGTTTTAGGAAACCACCTCAGCTCTTAGGTGCTTAAGATGCTTAATATGAAAATTAATCCTCTTGACAAAAATCTTGCTCTTGTTTGTTTACAACAATGCCAACAGAATGCTGGGTAACATTGTAGACTCGTCCATTTTTGCCATGGTAACATTTGTGTGGCATGCCTTTTTGAACAAAACCCATTCACTTGATGCCTACAATATCACCTTTCTTGTAGATTTGCATGTATGTGGCCAAAGGAACAACTCCATGGTTTCTAAAAGGCCTAGAGAACATGTATCAGGTACCTCTCCTCTTTCCCTTTGTGTTTGTCATTTTGGTGAATTACTAGAAGATGGTGTCTCCCAATATAAGAAATTTAAACATGGAACTGCAGATTAGATAACATGATGTTATATATGTTATTTAGCACTGCGTAAAAGATAACACAATTTACTACCATTATTAATTTCTTTTCTTTCTTTTTTTGAGACAGTCTCATTATGTTGCCATAGGTACGGGGCCGTGGTGTTACAGCTCACAGAAACCTCAAAATCTTGGGCTTAAGAAATTGACTTGCTTCAGCCTCCCCAGTAGCTGGGACTACAGGCGCCCACTACAACACCCAGCTATTTTTTGGTTGTAGTTGTCATTGTTTGGCAGGCCTGGACAGCCCCGCTAGCTCCGGTGTATGTGGCTGGCACCCAGCCCATTATTAATTTCTAACAGTAGTATATCTCAAAACATTATCTAGCATAATATCTAGTATGACCTAATAAGTTATGTGAAACCCTCTAGCCAGCCCTTCCTAAATACCTCTTACCAAGACATCCCATGATTACCCGGTATGTGGGCTTCTTTGCTGCAGAAAGCTACATTAGGCTACCTCTGGTTATGAATATGTTTCTGGTGGTGTTTGGCTGACAGGCATCAGCAAAGCAAACAGGTAAAATGTAAACAACTGGCAAATTTAGGTAAAGAATTGATAAGAATTACTTATACAAGTGGTGCCTGTGGCTCAAAGGAGTAAGGCACTGGCCCCATACGCTGGAGGTGGTGGGTTCAAACCCAGCTCCAGCCAAAAACTGCAAAAAATAAAAATAAAAAATAAAAAAAACTACCATGTTAGCCATTAACTTAGGGCAGCGCCTGTGGCTCAAAGGAGTAAGGTGCTGGCCCTATATGCCAGAGGTGGCGGGTTCAAATCCAGCCCCAGCCAAAAACTGCAAAAAACAAAAAAAAAGAAAAGAAAAGAAATAATTCCTTATACCATTTTTCCAACTTTAAGGTAGCTTTTAAATGACATAAACATAAAGTTTTAAAATATCAGGAAAGAGTCATAGGAAAAATAAGGATGGGCATGATATAACATGGCAGTTCACTAGTTTATTCTCTCTTGGTTGTGGTTGTCAATTTGCACAGTTAAGCAGCTATGGGAAAAACATTAAGAATAATATGATAGGCCAGGCGCCCTGGCTCACGCCTGTAATCTTAGCACTCTGGGAGGCTGAAGCAGGGGCATCACCTAAGCTTAGAAGTTTCAAGACCAGCCTGAGCAAGACTGAGTCTCCACTAAAAATAGAAAAAGTAGGTGGGTGTTGTGGTGGGCACCTATAGTCCTAGCTACTTGGGAGGCTGAGGCAAGAGAATCACTTGAGCCCAAGGGTTTGAGGTTGCTGTGAGCTATGATGCCTCCACACTCTACCCAAGGTGACAGAGCAAGACTCTGTCTCAGGAAAAAAAAATGATAAGAATATTTGAATGGTCACAAATGGACAGGTATACATAAAGAAAGACTAATTAGAAGCCTACAGTTGTTACCTTTATATCCTGGATTCATAAGTAATAAATTTTTTCCTTAATAAAAAAGACTCCCTTTCAGCTGGGCACCCATATCTCAGTGGTTAGGGCACCAGCCACATGCTTCTGGATTGGTGGGTTCCAGGCCAGCCTGGGCTGCAAAAAAAAAAAAAAAAAGCCAGGCGTTGTGGCAGGCACCTGTAGTCCCAGCAACTCGGGAGGCTGAGGCAAGAGAATCACTTGAGCCCAAAAGTTTGAGGTTGCTGTGAGCTATGACACCATGGCATTCTACCAAGAGTGACAAAGTGAGACTCTGTCTCAATTAAAAAAAAAAAAAAGCTCCTTTTCTATTAAAAATAGAATGTTCTGTAGTGATACAGTTGTAAAAGGATACAAGATATTTGTAATAAATAAAAAAAAGTTGACAATTTTTTTAAAAAACTCCTAGACAAGTCCAAGCCCAAAGCCTTGTTCTCAAGGTCCCTTCCCTAAAATCCTAACTTACTTTCCTCCACCTGATTCCAGCTAGATCCTACTCCTGCGTGACAATGTATCCCAGCTTTTATTAACTCAGAACTGCTTAGGGTCCAAGCCCAGCTCCGCCTCTTAGTACGTGGATGACTATAGGCAAGTAACTTGTGCTCCCTAGGACTCACTCTAATCTTTAAAAGGGACAAAAGCAGTAACTCTCCAGAGAGCCACGGTATAACATAAATTATTTATTTGTATAAAGGCCTTGGAATGAAGTTAGCAATTAAGGCTTAATGATTATCAACACCCGTACTGGAGAACACGTTCTATATATTCTTGGTTGAGGTGAACAAACCTGTAAAAGAAACAAGCCAAGCACCGCTCGCGTAGAGAGAGCTTTGCTTTCAGTAGCCAGCCAGTCACTACGTGCAGTATTATTCAAAAGCCAGGCTACGGAAGGAGAAAGCTGTGAAACACGCTGACCGTTAGGTCGCCTACGACAGTGAAATGCGCCCCTCTCCCTTCGGGGAAGGTGGAGCAATCCTCGCCTTCCAAAAATGAGATTAGAAGGCGTCTGGAATTACACAGCGCACCGCAGAGATCACAGAGAAGGGCCTGAGCCACCGCCGCTGGAGCTCTGCCCACAACCAGGAGACCTGACTGCTTGCTGGTAAATCAGTAATAACAGGAGATCAGCACTCTTCACTTGACAGGAACTGTTTTGAGGTTTTCCTTTTTACTGCCTCTGTCAGCTCCCAAAACAATTCTAATAGGAAGTTCCTAATATCTCCATTTTAAAGAACGGTGACGGGGAGTACGGGGTGATTTTTAAATGCCCTAAATTTACAATGCGAGAAAGCGGCTTCATGTATGTACTGGAAGAAGACGGATTGGGCAAACTGAGAGCCCAGTACACCCTCAAACTAGGCAAAATGCTACACGACCAAACCCCAAACTCCCTCCGGGGAGCGAGGACAGCCCCAAATACAAGAGCTCCACCGAGAGGAACGAAAACCGCCACCCCTAGCCCTCCAAACAAACCTCTGCTCTCCGGTGAGGCTTCTTTTCCCCTAAATCGATCACCAGTTTATTGAGGATCCAAACAGTACGTCCAGAAAACTCAGATGGGCCTGCAAGCGAGGAACTCACCCCAGCTACTACTGACAAAAAGGTAGGAACCTCACAATCCCAGAGCCGAGGCCTCAGCGAAACTGCCGAGCGTCTGGACTACACTTCCCAGGATTCCCCGAATCCCTCGGCCTGAGCGGAAGTCACTGCAAGCACCCCGAGTGCCGGAGCACTCGCCTTTGGAAGCGGAACGGAAAGCGTCCCTAGTTTCACCCTCCAGGGGAGGTGTCACGAACGCACCCAGCTTCTTGCTGCACTTCCCGTAATGCTCAAGAGAAACCAATGCCACCTCTCAGAGTGCTTGGTCCACAGTGTGGACTGTTAAGTTGAGAGTAGTCTGTCTTCATGAGTCATCAAAACTGGTAAATATTGAATAAACCTGGCTTCCTCCACTCTAAATGTCTCCAATTATGACAGGAGAATGTTTGGGAAATGAGCAAAGGAGAAGATAACAATCTTCCAGGAATTAATTCTTGCAACTCTAATGGTAATAAATGGTGTCTAAATGTAGTTTTATTTATTATTTTATTTATTTATTTTTTTTGCTGTTTTTGGCTGGAGCTGGATTTGAACCTACCACCTCTGGCATATGGGGCTGGCGCCCTACTCCTTTGAGCCACAGGCGCCACCCCTAATTGTAGTTTTAATTTGGACTTTTTGTTTTATACATAAAATGGAACATTTTTGCATATTTTCTGGTGCCATTCTTGTAATTGTTGTAAATCATTGTAAATCACTTTTCTATTGTGAGAGTCTTTGCTTGCTAATTCAGGGAATTCTGCCATATCTTACCCAAGACCATTAAGGTGGTGCCATCAGGAGTCTGCAAGAGTCATTGCGTTAGGAGCGATCTACCAATTCCACTGTGGGGTTTATATCCAAAGTGTTTATATCCAGAAATTGCTATAGTAGAGATATTTGTACTCCCGTGTTTATTACAACACTATCCACAGTAGCCAAATATGGGCTCAACCTAAGTGTCCACTGACAGGAATAAAGAAAATGTGGCATATATACACAATGGAATATTATTAAGCAATAAATAGAACAAAATTCGTGACAATATAGATGAGCTTTGGAAGAAATTATGTTAAGTGATATAAACTGGGCACTGAAAAATAGACACTACATAATCTTACTCATATGTGAAAGCTAAAAATCTTGACCTCTTAGTAGAGAGTAGAATAGACTGATTGTTAGAGACAAGAAAGCGTGCTTGGGGGGTGGAGGGAGAGGAGGGTAGCGAAAGGTTGATTAACAGGTAAAAAAGTGTAGCTCATGGCTCTGCACCGTTAGCTCAGCAGCTAGGGCACCAGCCACATACAACCAGACCTGGCAGGTTCCAATCCAGCCCAGGCCTGCCAAACAATAATAACTGCAACCAAAAAATAGCCAGGCATTGTGGCAGCTATAGTCCCAGCTACTTGGGAGGCTGAGGCAAGAGAATCACTTAGGCCCAAGAGTTTGAGGTTGCTGTCAGCTGTGATGCCATGGCACTCTTTGGAGGGCCGGAACTTTGTCTTCTCTCCTGGCTTGCTGGGTGCTTCAGTTTCATGGTCTCATTGATTCCATGACCACAGGATCAGTGGTAAGACAGGGTTTATTACCAGAAACAAAATTTACAAAAACCCAAAGCCCCTGGCAGAGAGAACCCAGGAGAGGAATAAGCTCGCCTGTCCCTCTTCTAGGTCTGTCCTTGGGCTCTCTGCTCAGGGGTTTATATGGTCACAGGGGGTTTTGAGGCAACTCAATGTTGACTTTTAGAGCATAGGTCTTCTTCAGTTACAGCCAGTAGTCCAAGACAAGGTGCTGGAACTCTCAGACCCTGGAAATTCACAAGAGGAGACTGCAAGGCGCCATCTATGAAATTGACCAGCCAGAAGTGCAAGGGAGGAGAGAGCAAGGCGCCAGTGTCTCCCCTGCAGATGTCCCGCCCTTCCAGCAAGCTGGTTCCTCCTGCCGCCCAGCATCAACGCTGCCAGGGCTAAGGCGGCAAGTCATGGTGCCACCTGTCCTGCATCAATAGTGAGACTCTGTTTCAAAAAAAAAAAAAAAGTATAGCTCATTAGGAGGAATAAGTTCTAGCATTCTACATCACAAGATGACTATGATTAACAATTTAATTAGTTGTTTTCAAATAACTAGAATAGCAAACTTTGAAGGTTCTTGCCACAGAGAAATGATAAATGTTTGAGGTGATGGATATGGTGTAATAATTACTCTGATTTGATCATTACACATTGTTTACATAATTGAAATATAACAATGTACTACATACCCCATAAATATGTACAATAACCATGTGTCATTTAAAAATAGTGATAAAAGCATATGAAGATTCAAGCACCTATTATAACCCTTCTCACAGTCCTCACATTTGTATGGTTTTTCTACAGTGTGGTCTCTTTGCTAATGTTTAGGTAGGAACTATGCTCAAAACTCTTCCCACATCCTTACACTTATATGGTCTCTCTCCTGTGTGAACTCTTTGGTGCAATTCAAGATTAAACTTACTAATGTAGCCCTTCCCACATTTCTTATGTTTGTATGACTCTTCTACACTATGGGATTTCTGATGGGAATATTGTTGAAATTCATACAAAATCCTTTCTCACATTTGAATAGTGTTTCACCACTGTGGACATGTTGATGTCTTGGTAGACTTGAGGTCCATCTGAAACTCTTCCCACATTCTTCACAATTATCTCCTGTGTGGTCCATATAATGCTTATAAAGATCTTCTCTACAAATGAAGCCCTTTCCCCACTCCTCCCATTTGTATGGTTTCTCTCCTTTGTGGAAAATCCAATGGTCATGTGGTGCTGACTTCTGAACAAAGCTATTATCACATCTTAATGGTTTCTCTTACATGTGAACCATGAAATGTCTATTAAGATCTGATCTACTGTGGAAGTTCTCACCACATATCTCACATTTGAACAGTTTCTTCCCAGCATGGGTTCTTTGATGTTCCTGAAGCTGCGAATCATGAATGAAGGCCCTCCACATTCCTCACAATTATAAGGTTTCCCTCCTTTGTGTAATTTGTGATGACCACAAAGTCCTGGTATAGGACTGAAGCCCTTCCCACACTGCTCACATTTGAATGGTTTCCCTGCAGTGTGGACTTTCTGATGAGTTTGCAGATGTGAGCTCTGACTGAATTCCTTACCACACACATCATGCTCATAGAGTTTCTCTTCCATGTGGACTCTCTGATGAATAGGAAGGGCTGAGCTATAACAGACAGCTATTTTTCCCATACTCCTTATATGTAAAAGACTTCTGTCTCTTGAGTGTAATTTTTGATGAAAGTCAAAGACAGAGACATCACTGAAGGATTGTGTACACTCATTACCCTGGAAAGGTTTCTGTTTTGTGTGAATTACAGACAGTCCTGCCTCACCCTCAAATGGAAAATCACCTTTTTGGGGGGATAACTGAGAGATATTTATCATGGTGTCTGGAGGCCTAGTAAAGTCATTTGCAATTTGTTCCCAAATTTGCTGGCGGAACAACTCTTCATGTGATTCTGCTTCTCAAATAGTCTCTAACTCTGTCTGGGTCTTGCCTTCTATCAGAACACAGAATTAAGAGATGTGGATAAGTAAAGGCTTTGTTCAGTGTTATCAAGAGTTCACACTTAGGACATGGCATAAAACTTTAATGAATACAGAAAACATTCGATTTGTGTATTCCAAGTATAACATGTTCTGTGGTTTGCATGAGACTAATTTAGAGTCACATCAAATATTATGTAAAATCTTGTACATCTTTAAGTTACGTACCTGAGGAGAGTATCTTTTGTCTTTTGGGTGCAAGCAGTGGGTCACTCTGGATAGTGAAAAATATAATTTTGGGCTACAACTAGATCTGTAAAGGAACATCTATACAATGAAAAAAAAATTTTTGAGACAGAGTCTCAAGCTGTCACCATGGGTAGAGTGCAGTGGTGCCATAGCTCACAGCAACCTCAAACTCTTGGGTTTAAGTAATTCTCTTGCCTCAGCTTCCCAAGTAGCTGGGACTACAGGTGCCTGCCACAATGCTCGGCTATTTTTTTGTTATTGTTGTTGCAGTTGTCATTGTTGCTCTAACTGACTCAGACTGGGTTTGAACCCGCCAGCCTGGGTGTATGTGGCCAGTGCCCTACCCACTGAGCTATGGGTGCTGCCCCATGCAATGAAATATTAACCAATAATTAAATGCTAAGTTTGAGAAACTGTTTAAGGGGATGAAAACATTCCATACCAGGGGGCATTGCTCATGCAGGGTCCCCATTAACAACCAATGGTCTACACAATAATTTTTAACATCTACCTCATTTTCCAACATATGAATACCCAACAGTTTAACTAACAACACATCTGAGCTGGATTTTCTCCAGCATTTTTCATTATAGCTAGTACATATCATCACAATCCTTTATACATCTCTGAGCATATTTTACAGTTATTTCCATTGGATGGAATCCCAGAAATGGTGTTTCATTGTTCAATTTTTCTTATGCAGAGTTCTGCTTACATATCGCAATTCGTTAGATTTTCACAAGTCTACAGGACACCATGAGAATATATTTTTCCTCACAACCTTACTAATACATGGTGCATCATCAGCCTTTTGAATCTGACAATTTAATATTGATGAAAGGGTAGTATCTTACTTCCCCAAAACATCTCTTCACTAAAGTTACATATCTTTTGGCCTTAATTATCTAGCTTAGTTTTCACATAATGGAAAAATAAATTTTGGGTTTCAAGGGCAAGAGTTGGAAAAAAAAGTCACTTAATAATGTAATTCAAGGCTCGGCGCCTGTGGCTTAAGCAGCTAAGGCACCAGCCACATACACCTAAGGTTGCGGTTTGAATCCAGCCCAGCCCGCCAAACAACAATAATGGCTGCAACCAAAAAATAGCTGGGCATTGTGGCGGGCGCCTGTGGTCTCAGCTACTTGGGAGGCTGAGATAGGAGACTCGCTTGAGGCCAGGAGCTGGAGGTTGCTGTGAGCAGTGAAGCCATGGCACTCTACCCAGGGGGCAGCTTGAGGCTCTGTCTCAAAAAAT